GAATAGGAATCAGTACTCACCAAACATTACTGAGATCATGGTCTGCATCACAACAAATAAAATAACCTGAAATAGAGTATCTAACATCATAAACCAGTGTCAACAAAGAACATATTAATCTGTCCAGAAGAAAACCTTACTGTCTTGACAAATCACTGAAAACAAGACTCATTAAAAAAAACTGTACAGCAGTATGTTCCAGACATATTTTGGATTTCACCTTTGAACTTAGTTTTCATAAAGAGAAGCACAGAAGCAGTAATACTTACACAGAGGTAAACAAGGAACCAAACAAAAGAACTCCTCTTTGTTTATAAAAAAACTAGCACCTTAAAAACATGGGTGCCTGTGCTGAACAAAGACCCTGTTAGCCCAGCATCCTGCTTCTGACAGAGGCTAAAACTCTATTGCAGAAGTAAAAAAGCAACAGGCAAAATGCATAAATCATCAAGAGGCTGCTATGCTTTCACCAATACTGACAAAATGGATGACAGAAGGTTACACCAGCCTGCGGGTATTAGCCTGAGGAAACAATGTTTTACTGTTTTTCTAATTATGTTGACAATTTTTTCTCTAACAAACCAACTGATTTTTTAATTAAGATATCTGAAACTCGGTGTTGGAGACTTGTGCATCAGAGAAGGATGTTTCCCAAAAGCTGCTTCTTGTTCCTGGGAAAACTCAGAGCTAGGAATAAGAGGTGGTCTAGTTCCTGCATTAAGGGAGCTGCAGACCCAAAGAAGTGAAATAGCACGAAGAGGGAAATGGTTGCAGAAGGAGAAAACACTTCAAATTATTATATCTAAATAATGCCCAATCTGCTAGGAGCTAAATTTTTCTGCTAAAATAATGTCGTTTGACATTCAAGGTCTACGGTGATTGCATTTCAATGTATACAATGAGTTGATAGCATAGATGAACAGGAAAATGGAACATCATAAAAAAGGTTTAAAGACTGCAAAAAAAATTTCTAAAGTTATAAACATACTATGAGAAAAGAAGTAGTAACATGAATATATAGACAGCTCATCAACTACATACAGATTTATCAACCACAGTGCACAGATGAACCTCTGGACCTCCATGGATCACTCTGTAATTACTATACCATATGAATTAACATCAGTTAAAAAAACAAAAGCTGACTGAACACTCTGTTGGTATTTTACATATATCTAGAACACACTCACGGATGAAATTCCAACCCAGAAATATGGTTTCATCTTACTAATGGCTAAGGCATTCCCTAAATATGATGGAAGACATTCTATCCCAATTAGGGTTACTGAAGTTTCCACAGAATTATGCACACCTTGTTTTTCTATACAGTAATGACAGGCAATTCTTTACTGCTGCTGAACACTGCTGGAGTTACATACTGTTGTTCAATAAACCAGTACAGAGAATTTACTCAAGCTGATTTAAGTCAGAAGGAGTCTGTTGCTTATCCTCTGGAGGAATATTGGAAAACATTGTCAACTGGATATTTCAGAGCTTTCTTATCTGCAGAATTTGTCATTTAGAAGATGTCATCATCTTTAGTATGTTATTCTGGAAACTTACTTAGAGGTAATGAGCAGGAAATTTGGCATTACTTTCAACATAATTCTCCATAATTATTTCTAAATCATAGTACAAAAATATTTTTCCACTCCATGATTTATGCAGCTTGTGCTCTTGTACACTCTGATGACTCAAAATTTCAACAGGCCCTTATGACATTATTTTCAACTTTCTATGTGCAGCTGGAGTGGGTGGTGGGCCATATATTCCAGGACTATCTACAGCATCATATTAAGAACTATTAATTCAAACCATGTGTGAAGTCAGCATATACAAAAAAAGTTTTTTAATGTCTATGCCAAGTACCATACTTCAGGACTGAAGCAGAATAGCTTGCAATAACTGAAGATGAACTGTCATTCCTCTCTCATGTCTTACTCCAATGACAAATACTTCTTGAACTTTAATCACAAGTAACTTTTCCTTATTTTCAGTCTTTTAACCTCTCATTAAATGGCAGTCTGTTTCTCATCAACCCATAATTTGAAGCAAATAGAACTGTACTTCTTTTTACTGTTTGTAAATAGAACTGTACTTCTTTTTACTGTTTGTATAGCACCATTCTGCTGTTTATTAAGAATATCTGGGTATTCTGGAACTTGCTTTGCTTGACTGTTCCTGGGTGATGAAGTCCAAACATGCCCTAAGTAGCAGAATAGATGTTTTCAACTTTCGGAGCTCTTAAAATTTGTGAGTGACAGGTCCTGCTGGAGTACAGGTCCTTGTGAAGAGACAAGGCTACCTCAGGAGACCAGGAGATTGTCCAAAGAACATGTCGAAGGCAATGATTTGTAATTAAGCACTTGAGAGCAGGATGCTATCTGAGCACAAAAATAGTGGGGAAAAAATGAATTAACAGGATAAGCCTTGCTCTGGTATGTCAATTGTCTGCATATAGGGTAAAGTGCTCAGATGTAAATGGAGTTAGGTGAAGGAAGGAATAAAATTGAATGGTATGTCTCAGAAAGTGTGCCACATAAACAACACACAGACAGTAGAAACTACATAACTGAACGAGAATTTGGGGGAAAAATCTCCCTCAAAAAATCCATCCAGAGACAGATTGTACTGCACCCTGACAACAAGCAGTGCGACGCAGTCAAGAGAGGGGTGATAGAGTTGCAATTCAGTGGTAGCTGTGTGTAATGAATAAGATCCAAGAGATATAAACTTGAATCTTGCTACAGTGTGGGGAACTACAAGATTGCACAGTAATAATAATGGCATCATTATTTGCTAGGTCATTTAGCTGCTTTATTAGATTATTTATAGTGGGTAGATTCAGCAATAAACATTGAAGCCTCTCCTCTCAGGCCTGCACTTGAGAAATTAAGACTTCCAGGTAAAAGCTGCCCTCTCACTTTTGCATCCTCTGAAAGACATTTTCCATTTAGACATATTGTCTGCCAAGTCCTTAAGGGCTGCAAACCTTTGGAGTTTTACCACTGATTTCACAAACTTGCCTTAAGAAAAATTGACAACATTTTGTTTTAGCTTAAGTTGGTGAAAACCACTAATTAGATCCTCCTTATTTGAAGAATATTTTGTTTCATGTGAATTAAAGTTTTCACTGAAGTGATCTGAATTACTTACTTTGGAGAAAAACCAAGATGAAAAGTTAATAAACAAATTTTAACTAAATCAGTTTCTATTCGCATGCTCATGCAAGCCTCTAAAATTCTTTTCATACATGTGTGGTAGTAGCACTCACCTTCTCCCTGGATGATACATGGGGACATACCTTTCACGACCTAAGGTAGGAATGGAAAGAGGCAGAACCCCTTGGTCCACAGACAGGGTCCACAGCCAATAGAGACATTTCTGCACCATGACCTCCATCCAAGGAGACTGCCCCAGACGGAGTGCCCCTCACCACTCTCTCCCATGGCATGCCATGGGAGCATCCCCATTATCCACCTTGTTCATTACTTTTGGCCTTTGGTTTTAGTTGCAAATTAAAGTTTGTTACCTGCGTTAAGTTGTTGCCAATACTTCTGTGCCAGCATGCCGACAGTTGTCCGAGTCCTTAGATCTCATGGGCCACTGTGATATCGGATGGGTTTGCATTGGACACAGCACAATTCCCACTCTCCTCCTTTAAGAGTCTATTCTGCATTAGTCTCATACAGGATGTGCAGGGACTCACTGTAATCCCCATAGGGGATTTTTTATGTTCTCAGTTTTGCTTGCTTTTGTTTTGTTCTTTATTTTTTTAAGATATTTCCTGGTGCTCCACAGGATTCTTATTTTTCTCATGGCTGCCCAAACTTCACAGCTCTCCCTGAGGTAAAGACAAGTTGGCCTCTTTTTTTTTTTTCTTTTTCTTCTTTTTTTTTTTTTTTTTTAATGGGAGATGCTCAAGCTTTCTGGCTTTCTGCCCCTGTGCAAGCCCAGGCCTTGATGCTGCACTCGTCTGTGAAAAGACCCTGCCCCTGCCCTTGGGTGGGCTCATGTGTGGGAAGCACCAGGCACTACTTGTGTACCCCAGAGGTTATCATTGGTCCCAGTCCTAGTCAGTATCTTTATCGATGATCTGGATGAGGAAATCAAATGCACCCTTAATAAATTTGTGGATGACAGTAAGCTGGGCAGGAGGGTTGAAAGGATCTGCAGAGGGACCTGGACAGGCTGGATCAATGGGCCAAGACTAACCATATGAGGTTCAACAAGGCAAAATGCCAGGTCCTGCACTTGGGTCACAACAACTCCCTGCAGTGCTCCAGGTTGGGGGAAGAGTGGCTGGAAAGCTGCCCCGTGGGAATGGATCTGAGGCGCTGGTTGACAGTGGCTGAATATGAGACACCATGTGCCCAGGCAGCCAAGAAGGCCAGTGACATCCTGGCCTGTCTCAGCAATAGTGTGGCCAGCAGGAGCAGGGCAGGGATTGTCCCCCTGTACTGGCACTGCTGAGGCCACAGCTCGAGTGCTGTGTCCAGTTCTGGGCCCCTCAGCACAAGAAGGACATTGAGGGGCTGGAGCGTGTCCAGAGGAGGGAAATGGAGCTGGTGAGGGGTCTGGAGCACAAACCCTGTGAGGAGCGGCTGAGGGAGCTGGGGGTGCTTAGCCTGGAGAAAAGGAGGCTCAGGGAGACCTTATCGCTCTGGACAGCTCCCTGAAGGGAGGCTGTAGCTAGGCAAGGGTCGGCCTCTTAGAGTAACAAGTGAAAGAACAAGACACAGTTTTAAGATGCACCAGAGGAGGCTCAGGTTGGACAGAAGGAGGAATTTCTCCGCAGAAGGGGTGAATGGGATGCCCAGGGAGGTGGTGGAGTAACCGTGGCTGGAGGTATTTAAGGAAAGACTGGACGCGGCACTCAGTGCCATGTTCCAGCTGACACGCTGGTGTTTGCTGAGAGCTTGGACCCGATGATGTCAGCGCTCCTTTCCAGCCGCACCGATCCCGCTTTTCTGGGCTTGTGCGCCCCCCCCCAGCGGCGCCNCGCCGGCCGCCGCCGCAACGCCACCATGATGCTGCTGGGCCGCGGGCCGGACGCCAGGTACGGGGGCGCGGGGTGCCGGGGGAGCCCCGGGCTGCTCCGGGAAGGAGGCCCCGCTCCGAGCAGCGTGCCCGGGGGTGGCGCGGGGGCCGGGGAGCCATGCGGGCCAGGTCCTTCTTAGCGCATCTGCCTCCCTAGGAGATGGGGGCCGCCTCTGCCTTCCTCCGGTGAAGGCCGCAAAACTTTTCCAGGCCTAGTGTGCTGTGCAGAGATGGAATAAAGATGTGCTGCTGATATTTATTTGGACCTCTCGGGAATAAATCTGAGGACAAGTCTAAGCGGTCGCGATAATGAGGGGGGAATAAAAACTTTTATACCCCCACGTAAGAAAACGGAGTGTTCTGCATCCCAAAATTAAATACTACTTGAATAGGCATACTGTAAGATCTGAACTGTAAAGCTTATGTGATTACGTCTTCCTCCTGGAGGGAAACACTTTCTGACATGAAGATCTTTCAAGAAAATAGGAAATATATACCTTTTAATGAAGCTCTTACTAGGTACTATAATTTTGAAAAACAGCTTTATGAGTACTTAATGAAATTCTTACTTGCCTACTTACCCGGTGAAACCGTCCCTGTTCAAATGTTTCTGTGCTCCAGCTTGTCCTGGGGGACTGAATAACGTCCTTGGGGTTTTTTTAACCTTAACGGCATCTCTTTTGAACAGTCTTCCAAACAGCTTGCCATGAAACAACCCAACTGGGGTTTTGCCCAAGGCAGAACTTGGGCATGAAATACTTTTTTCTGAAGTAAAGGTGTTCCTCATTTGAATTGGTTGCATTGTTGTTTAGTCTCAAAGTACTAAATTTCTTCGAATTTTTCCGATCATCATGTATTCTGATAAAAAGTCAGTATTTAATTACTGGTCAGCAGTATTGGGATAGCTTAATGATATGAAGGAAGTTTTTGTTTCTGTCCCTTGCAAAGGTAGTGGTAAGAGTGAATTCTTTTGCACAGAATTCTAGTACTTAACATCAATAACTTTGTGTTAGACACAGTATCTGGCAGGTACTGTTAGCTGAATTGTCTTACAGCTGATTCACTCAAATCAACAACTGGCATGAGTTCACATAACCATCAAATAATATAGGAATATGAAAGCAAAATACAAAGTTAAATATGTGAATTACTGGAATGACTTGTCTACATCATTGATAATGAAACATACAGGATTTGGATCAAATAAATTCATTAGATTTATGTAGTTTAAAGGAAAGTAATTTATTAGTGTGATGAATGTCCTTTCAGTGGTTTTAGAGTTTTCACCTCTTGTGTCCATTCACTTTTCTTCTTTAATTCTCGGTGGTATTTTATCCTCTGTAGTGCAGTTTGGTAACTGTTTGCAATTTAAAGAACATTTAGTATCTGTACCAGTTTGTCCTCTACTGCCTAATTTCTCCAGCCATTGCCTTGTCTGTTTAGAGGGCAGGCTGTTGCAGGAAGGGATGGCCTTGCAGAAGTCTTGTTTGAGTCTGCAGGTGTTACTGCTCCATTAGTAACTAATACCATTAGTAAGTGAGCTTCTCTTAAATGCAGGAGGAAAACTTACAAGCAGATTTTGTGATTTTGGTTTTTATCTATTGGATCTTTAAGTGTAAATCTGCTTTTTTTGTTTGTTTTTCATTCATAAATAAGCACATATTACATCAGTTACAACATTTTCTTTCTTTCTCAGAATAAATTTCTGCTTTGCACTGAAATGAGATATCCAAATTATTAATAATATAATTATATAGTTTTCCTTCTGTATGTGTTGTAAATATTTCTGCCCTTCTTATTTTTCACTTATTTTTCTTTGGTATCCAGGGACAATCAGACTAGACAAATACAAGATGCTCTTTCAAATGTGGAAAAACATTTTGGTGAATTGTGCCAAATATTTGCTGGATATGTACGTAAAACTGCCAGACTACGAGACAAAGCAGATCTTCTAGTAAATGAAATATATGCATATGCAGCTACAGAGACACCAAACTTAAAAGTTGGACTGAAAAACTTTGCAGATGAATTTTCCAGACTTCAGGATTATCGCCAGGCAGAGGTACAAAATTAAAGCTGTACATGTTGTGTTTGCCATCTGAACTTTTCAGTTACTTATCTGTGATTAAAAGGGAAATCATATATTCTGCAATTGGAAAAGAAACAGGAGAAAATATGTCTAAATATAGTAATGTCTGAGCAGGGTAGGCTGCCAAGCATTCATCATTTACCCTTCTAATCACTTCAAGGAAAACTGCCTAAAGTTAGACCTGTTGAAGTCATCAAAACTTCATGTTCAAGTCCCTATGAACACTTAAAGTATTTGAGAAAGTTTTTTTTATTGGTCTTAGACTTTAGATTATGATTTATAGTTAATAAAGTGTTCTTTTTCAGTTGTGTGAGTTGTGTTGTCTGGCAGCAGTCTAGGTCTGAGGCAAAATCAGTCATTTTCCTTTTGCTAAGCATTATCAGAAATAGTACTGAAGAGGTACTGTCAGGGACCACTGTAGATTTCATAAGTTTGTAGTTCAGCGTTAAAAGTACAAACTTGATTTGGACCATATGGGACTATATAGCCACATTTCTGCTAGATGAGTGAGAGTGTAAAGAAAGGTGTTTATGCCACTTACACATTCATGTGTGGTGCCAGGCAAACTGTAACTTACAATGCAGAATTCCAAATACTGAGATAAAAAATAATTCATTCACACGTACTCAAACTAGTGTTTGGAGTATGTATCTATTCTTTTAGTAGAACATAGAAAATTCCCATTTATAGTTTTGAACAGCTAAGACCCACTATAATTCAAAAGAGTCTACTACAAATGTTGGAAATGTTGGCATTCTTTATGTCTTCAGATAGGACTTTTTTATATTGGAAAGCATTGCAAATCCTCTCTTCATACTAACAAAGTGGAAAAATAAAACCTTTTAAAAGTAGTCAATATGGGAAAGAGAGAGTTTGAAATACAAGGAATATGTGTGGATCTTTAACAATCTATTTAGGGAGGGATTTTTAAGACATAATAAGAAACCTTAGGGTGTGTGCAATTTTTATTTTTCCATAAGCTCTTATACATCTGGCTCCAGCTGAGCCCCACATAGGTCCTTATGCTTCAGTTGATGGAATAGCAAATTATCCGCTGTTATTAAATTTATATTGTGGCCAAAGATGAATGCAGACTCAGACTGCATGTTCTCTCTCCATCATTAAACTATGAACCTGTAATTTTGAGGTACATACGTAGCAACTTGAGTTTTGCTTTTGTTGATTTTAAATGTGTTTTTAAAAACTGACATCTAGCCTACATCTTCCTGCCATGCCTGTCTGTAAATCAATATTGCCCTGTGAAAGAAAAAAAAAGCAGAAGCAGCAAAGGAAAAGAGGAGCTTTTAGTCTTTAAATCAAGTTCTCCTTTTTTCCTTAAAACAAAATATTTTATCTCAGCTTTGATTTTTCTTGGCTTCAAGCCACTTAACAGTTTTCCTGTGCGCTGACAAAGTGGACAAAGGAAAATTAGCTTATAAGGATTATCAATTTCTGGTCTTTAGCTGCAGTGCTAGATATATAAATACTGAGGTGTGAGGTACCACAACATGTGATAGGTAAGTAAGATGGACAGATTATTTGGTACGTCTGTAACACATGTGTTTTTAGAGCCTTACTGCCCTATTCCTTTCTATTCTATTGGCAGTTCAAGTGAAATTTTTTGACAGTGCACTGGTAGATGGTATCAAGGAGGAATGTTTTCTCAGCTGGCATAGATTTTGGCTGACTACCAGTATAGAGGGAACTGTCCCTTCCCAGTAGAGGTATGCACCTTGTCCTAATCTGGATGTAACAGCAATGGGCCATAGGATTCACTCATGGTCCCTAAATCACTGGCAGATTGTGCTGGGCCACTCAGACAATTTTGTCCGATTTGAAAAGCAGGTCTTATCCTGTTGCCTGTCTGACCATATGTAGCTGTTTTTCTGACTAGGACAACTGAAACAAAAATTCAGAACCATTCATCTGTGAGAGCATTTATGCATTTTACATACCTTGTTACTGGTGTTTTTAGTGCACTTAGTACCAGTGATTGATTTTATTATTTTTAAGATATTATTTTTAAGATGTTATTATTTTTAAGATGTTATTATTTTTAAGAAGTGTTCCATTTTGTACAATGTATTTGATAAAAAAGATTGTTTAGTCCGTAACCTATCAGTAAGTGTAGAGCAAATACACTGATCTTTAGATAGAAAGCTACAGAACTCCAAAATGCAATGTTGGATGTATTTAGTACTCAGTTTAATGTCTTCAGAATTTTCTCTGTTTCATTTATCCTGATCTAATTAAGAAAAAAGGAATTCCACAAGAAATCAGCTTGAGCTCTTCAGCAAACAAATTCCTTCTTGGTTAATATACTTGACTGTAGTTTTTACAAAATGTTTTAAAACTCTTATCCTAATATTTTTTCAGCATATACAGATTTAATTTGTAATTAGATGAGTCACTATTGAATTAATTGTTTCCATTTCTGCACATCATGGATGACTTTACCAATTTTGTGATTTCTTTCTGTAGGTTGACAGGCTGGAAGCCAAGGTTGTTGAACCTCTGAAATGTTACGGGAGCATAGTAAAACTTAAAAGGGTAGGTTAAACGTGTTTTCTCACAAGGTACATTTCAGTGTCCTGGTCACTCAGTTGAAAACTTTTTGTTTATGGGGAAAATGGTTCTGATTTTTCATATTTCAGTAATCAGTTTAACTTAATTATGTAGTTACGCATTTGAACTGAAACTATATATATGTTGGAGGAAAGAGCTATGATGTGAGGACAAGGATATTCAGACTATTTTAGCATAAGCAAATGTTCAGAAAAAGTATCAGTATGAAATTTCCTGGATAGTGTAAATTCAGGACTTTTTATTTATAAATGATGTCATTTGTTATTGTTTGATTTTGATGATGGTGGTGATAATACTACTACTACTGCTATTATTATAATTATAACTGTTATTATTGTTATTATTGATGGTTTTTGTTGGTTTTTTTTATTTTCAAATTGTGAAGAACCAAGTAGTGTTTGAAACTTACTGCACATTACCTTACTTGGTGGTTAGAGAAATGATTGTGAAGGAAATGCATCTGGCATTTGAGTACTGGGGCTTCCACAGCATTGAAGAGACTGCCTTGAGGTGCACTGCCACTGATAGCCAGTAATGCTGAGGACAGAAGCAACTGAATCCAGATCATTGCTTGCAACAGTGAATTAAATTTCCTGTGGTCTTTGCCTTTCAGAATGCCAGAAAGCATTGCATAATATTTATTTTAGCTGCACTGGGGAGTACAAGAGCATTTTTAAACTGTAAATGGGATCAACTATTTTACCAGTTTACCTTTGAACTAAGATAGAGTTCACTAAAGATGTAGGTTATTAAATGGTTATTTTTTTCCCACTGCACGTTGACCATGAACCTTGGTTAAAACTTCAACTACCTGGTCTTTAGTTATCATCTATAATCACTGGAACGTATTTAGTGACAAAGGAAATTTTGTCACTCATGTAAATCTGGCACAAGCTGCTAGTTCTAGGACTGCTTTAGCTGTAACTACATTAGCTGACTAAGTGAAATCAGGCAGAGTATGTCATTATAGCTACTTTCTGTAAAGGGGGTGTTCCCACTGCTGCTTACTTATTGGATCTGTTCCAGGAAGTACACAGAAGTATTTCTGTGCTTTATCTAAAAACAACTGTTGCTTTTCTGTGATGTAAGACATCAGTGTCCTGTGCTACTAAATGCTTTAAAGAGACCCAGGTCAATCAGAGTAATGTTGTCCTTTATTTACTAGTGCAGTAAAATTGTTTCATTCACTTGTTCTGGTTTACTATGCTGAATAGCTTCAGTGGAAGCTAAAAGCATGTTCTTGTCCTGTAAAACAGTTTAACGATAGGATATGAGGATTTCTTTCTGTTTCATTGATCTGTATATCAATCTTCACTTGTCTGCTTTTTGGCAACTCTCTTCCCGGTTCCTTTTCTTCATGTAAAACAGGACATCATAAAACCAAGGTGATCCACGTGCAGAAGAAGGGATTGATTTGCTTTAATAACTTCAGTGACTAAAGCAGGTAACAGTACAGTGATGAGGCTCTGCCAGCTCATTGGTGGATGAAGTGTAGCTGTACTTCTCTATAATTTGAAAATAGATGCGTGACCAGAGTTCTTATGTGTGACTTGAATTCATAGTTAAACTTAGAGGGACTATGAATAATTTTATATTCTTTGTACTTTTTATCTCATTGCCTATTCCATTCCACTTTTCCTTGAGTGTAACTCAAGCATATTTTCCAAAAACATGTCAAAGCTTGGTCTAAAGACACTGGAGGTGAATGTAGGACTGTTGGTGGTTAGCTGATGTTTGTGGTGTTTTCTTTTAAATGAAAGACTTCAGCTAATCTTTGGTTCTTGTTATATGCTCCACTGAGATGAAAGAGCTCTTTAATGCTCTGGGTTTTTTTCTGGATGAAGGTATTTAGATGCTAATAAAACAAATTTTTCATATTTTTTTGTTAGGTGATGTACACCTTGATTCTTTCACCATAAATTGTATTTTCCCCAGCTTTTTAATATTTTTATTGGGTTTTTTCTGAACCCTTTTCTTGGACAAAATATGTATGTAACTGAGCCCTACTTTTGTACTTCCAAAACTTGTACACAGCTTCACTACTATGGCCATAGTAGCACTAATTCTTTGTCACACTTTGGCTAGAAGAGAAGTATGTTTCATGGTGGCTGTTGGTACAGAAGACAGAGGTAGAGGGGGGAACAGTTCAGTCCCTGTAGGTATTCCAAAGTCACTACATGCTAGAAAGAAAATCTAGAACTGTGCATCCTCAAGTACACTTTGCATGAAAGTCAGAACCCTTTCAAGCCATAGTGTTCAATCTGATTGACTGTTGTAAATGGGCCTAGAAAATGTGTGCTTTTAATAGGGCTCAGTCATTAAATAGCACTAAACATGAAACTGTGACCATTAGATAGAAAACTTTGTTATTTTAAAAATAAATATGTTCTTTTCTCTTTCTCTACCTTTAAAATTTAAAACTAGAAAAAACAATTTAAAAAATATATTATTGCTTTTCTTGTAGTCACATGATTTTCATAAAAGCAAAAGGCCTTCAGTAATCTTTGACCTGAGAGGTGGTATAAATTTCCTTCTGAAAGAACGGCAATAAAATCAGCTTTGATGGGCTGAAGTAGATTTTATTATCAGAAGCCAGCTCTGTGTCCCTAGAAATTAAGCAAAATGACAGTTATTTACAAGGACATACAGACAGTAAGGACCGAAACAAGGAAGAAACTGCATGTTTTGACCCCAACCTCTTGTGCAGCCTCATTATTGAAGTGGAACACACAGCACTGTGAAACCTGGCAATCTTGTGCTTGTCACTGACTAGTGATCTGCTCACAGGATCACAAAACTTGCTGAAAGACACATTCATAGTTGCATATCCTTCTGAGTGACAGAGACATACAAGCATTAAAATTGTTAAATCCAAGGAAGGAACACTGACACCTTCCCAATATGATAGTTTCTAATATCTCTAGCTTCATTCTGGAGTAGTAAATAAATAGGAAGTCATATTTTTAGAGAAAAAGGTCATTTGAAATGCATGCCCAGTTCTGCCTCAGACTTTGTTAGACCTTACACTGTATTTCTGCTAGTTCTAAACTACTGCTCCTTTAAACCAGAACCATCAAGATTAATGACCTTTTCCATACTAGCATAAATGGAGTGATAAATACTTGACTGATAATTTTACAGTTCATGAATGTCTAACAGTTTGCAAAACACAGTTTTATAGCATGAACAAAAATTTGAGAAAACCAGTAGATGAACATTCTTAAATTATCATAGGTCTTCCTAGAAGTACATACTACTTCTCCTTTGGAAATGGAGCAAAAATGGCTATCAACAGTTTCTTCCTTTTCTAGATCAGTAAAGTTTTATCTTCTCCAGCTACATCATTACTTGGATGTATTTCATTTCAAATTAATTTAAACACTTTACTAAATGTATATATATAAATATGCAGCCATATTAACCCTTTCAGTCATAGAATTCCTATAGTCCTTGTAGCACAGAACTGTTTAGGTCGAAAAAGACCTCTGTGATCATTGAGTCCAACCATTAGCCCAGCATCACTATGTTCACAAGTTAAACTATGTCTCAACACCTTTTTTGAACACTTCTGGAATTGGTTATATTCCATCAGTTCCCCAGGCAGTCTATTCCAATGCCTTACCATCCCTCCAGTGGAAAAAAATTTCCTCATATTTCATCTAAACCTCCCCTGGTGCAGCTTATATGTCCTCATCCTGTCACTGGTTGTGTGGGAGAAGAGACTGACCCCCACCTTGCTACAGCCTCCTTTCAGGTAGAGTGATAAGGTTTCCCCTGAGCCTCCACCAGGCTAAACACACTAAACACTCCCAGCTCCCTCAGCCACTCATCAGACTTCTGCTCCAGCCCCTTCAGCAGCTCCACTGCCAGCAGTGACAGCGGTGGACAGGTGACAGCAGTTATATTTTCTTCATAACTTCGCCTTGGTACTGACTGACTGCTGCCTGCTTTGGTTTTTGTTTTCTTAATGATGCCACTTTATTTGATACTGCTTTTTATTTCTAAGTACCACATATATTCTATTGCTAAGTCAGGAATGAGTCTGCCTTCTTAATGCTTTGGGGATCTCAGCTTGTGACCATTTGCTATACTTTACATGTAAAGCTGTGAGTATCTTTTTCTTCCCCACATTTTCAATTATAGTGTGTGCTATAGGGGTTTGCACAAGGTGCTAAACTCTCTCAGTCTTTACTGACTTCTCTTTCAGAGGATCAATTAACACATCACTGAAGTCTGTTTTTATTCAAAGCAGAAGTTTTGTCTGTGTTTTCTAGGCAGTGCATGTATGAAGGAGAGCATGTTTTGTATTATCCTAGAAGTATTTCATATATGTCTAAAACATTTTATTTCCAGGATGATCTTAAAGCAACTTTAACAGCAAAGAACCGAGAAGCCAAGCAATTATCTCAACTGGAAAAGACACGTCAGCGGAATCCATCAGATCTACACATTATTGTATCCTGCCTTTCTAGTCACTATGAGAAATATTTTTAAAATTTCTTGGGAATTAAAGTGTCACATTTAGGAAATTGTAGTAACAATAATGCTCCTTAGAGGGACTGTTTCCAATATTGAATCTTTTCTTAAACTTCATGAAGAATTACAGCTGCTACAGAGTAAGCTACATAAGTACTTAAGTAGTTACTTACTTTTGAATTGAAGAGAGACTATGAATTATTTGATACACTTATGCAAGAGAGGTCGGCATAGGTTACACCTAGAAATTTAGAAGTTTTTGAAAGAAAGTGAAATCAGACAATTTCTTTTTTATTTCTGTGGATTTATTGTTTTATTGTTTTTCTCCCTGCTATTTTGGTAATTGTGCTTCCTTGTACCTAGATGAGATACAAGTTTCCTCCAGCTGCAAGAAAGGATAAGTTGTTATTCTGTTAGTAGAATACTCAACTAGACTACTCTTCCTTTCTGAAGACCAGTCACCTTCCCCAGTGTATTATTTTGTATCTCAGTGGGAAAAATTAAGCCTCTGTCAAACTGAACTGGAATTTCCATTAAAATCTCATCAAAGTTTCAAATTTTGAAGCAATCAGAATCTAGGGAATGCCAAAATAAATGGGATCAAGGCAATACTACTTCAGTCCCTTTACACTTACGTATTATGATCCAGGATCTAGGTTCATGATGTGCTGTTTACTTTTTATTATATTTCAGTGTTGGACTTGGGAATTAAGCAGTCTTACTCGTTGTTGGATTTTGTCAACTCCGTTTCAGAATCTCTAGGATCTTTCTAGTGACTGGGGCATGAGACTGTAGAAAGAGTGAAATTGACTGTGTTGGTTAAACAGAACACAGGAGAACTACATTTTATTTTTGTCTTTGCCAGATCATTTCCATTTAATATTAATCAAATCAGTTAAAACAAGTCATGACTAATTAGAATTCCTCATGAAATCAAGGCAGACGTGTGCCAGCCACAGGGTTAGAACTTGAGCTGTGTTGCAAAGTTCTCTTGTTGGAATTAAGGGAGTGAATTATAACAATGAGCTGTTTTTCCCAAAGGGAGACTGGTCCCATTTTTCTCCCTTGAGCTAATTCCCATTTCATTTCATGGGTATGTCAGTGGCAATTAGCTAATTTCTTCTTGTTTCTTTTCTAAGCTTTTCCCAAATACTCTTCTGTGACTTAGGTTCTTGTTTACCTGTTTTCTGTACTTAAGGCTTTGCCTGAACAGTTATAAAATCTCAGTATAGTTGGATTCTGCATATGGCAAAGGCACCAAATGCTGCTTATTTGCATTTTAAAATGATTGACACAAAATGCATAAAAAGGTATTAGGAGCAGGAATGTGTTCATTTGCTTTTGAGAAGCACTTTGAAGTGCTGGTCAGCTTTCAGGTCTGAGAGAGGCTTTACCACATTAGAACACATCAGCTGGGCACCTGCTGGGGTTCTCTTATTCTTGAGCAACTGTGATGTTTCAGTAGTAAACAACTTTGGCCACAGATAGCAGAGGATCTTTATTCACTCCCATCTTACAAATGGGGTGTTAACACAGCTTTGAAAAGAAAACATTACCAGATTTTTAAAAATACACTTCTGTAAATCAAAATAGATTATTTTTTCTGAAGAAGTCTGCTAAACTGTAGGTTGCCTGCTTTTTATTTTTTTCTTTTAAAAATAAATAACTAAACCCTCAGTACAAAACAAACAGCTGTCCTGAAATGTTCTAGCCTGGATACTTGAATTCTAGCAAAGCTCTAACAAACTGTACATCTTACAGCCAGAAGCTTCAGACAACATAATAACAGAACTAAATATATATATATTTTGAAACAAATAAGGTAAATAGTTCACAGTATATTAAAAGTAGAAGTGACTATGAACATGTCCATGAATATTGATTGCCCCATTGCCATTTTTTCCTTTACTAATATTTCCAGTCACAGGTGAGTGCTCAGAGGAGAAAATACCGAGCTGCTGTTGTCCAAACTATGCAGGCTCTGTGACTTTAGAATCTTCACTCTAAAACAACCAGAATTCCTCTTGAAAGGATCTGTGCACAAATTATGTCCAATCTAAGATGTATTGTGGAGATATATCTGATTATCATAGAAATAACATACTGTATTATGTGTAAGGGCTGTGTATGCATAATAGCTGCCATCACTTACAGAGTGATGACTGAAGTAATTGAAAATGTCTTCTTCCCTCCTGTGGTTTGGGCAAAATCAAGAGAGAAAGATGGACATTTGACCTGATGTACTACTAAAGAACATCATCAATTTTGTTTGCCCCTTAATGGCAGAATATTGTCTATGTTTTTGAAAGGGGATTGTTTCAAATTGATAATCCTGTAAAGTAAGATTAGCAGATTAGTCAAAGAAGTGAATAGAGCATGCCTTATGCCTTAGGTTTCTATATATGGAACACTAAAAGCTAGATCACAAGAACTGGTGGTTCTTGTGGTGTCTTTTAAGCACTAGAAAAAAATCCTCTCTTAAGTTGCAGTTTTTTAGAAATGGGAAGAACTCTACAATTTGATCATAGAATACAGTACTTAATTTACTACTTTCAAATCCCACGACAAAATAGATTTGTGATAATACTGACTGAGCCTGTAAGTATCATAGTGTATGATGCTTGACCAATTATTTATGGAAAATAACAGAAGTTTAGACCCAAATCTTACAGATTACAACTGCAAGCTGTTACAGCTGTACATTGTTAATTTATAATAGTACACAGTTCTCAGACTTGATTTAATCAGAACAGTTTCAATATATTTCATTAAACGGTAGCGAACTTTCTATAAAGTTCATAATTATATCTATCTAAAATGCTTTTTGTAGTAACAAAATAAGAAAAATAAGAAAAAACAGGAAAATAAGAATGCGTTAAGAACTGGTTGATGTTTCCCCTTCCCAGTGCCATGTTGAAGATGTTTTTTATAAGATAATTTAATAATACAAAAATATTAAAAACATAAATACTTGAAATGCATTTGAATCTAAAAATTACAGTAACTCTAGCCTGCAGGAACATTGGTTCCAGCTGCTACTATAATTGTCAATTGAATAATATGTAAAAACTTACTAAGATGAGGTTCAGCACACTATACTGGAAAATATTTTCTGTACCCAGCAGGTTGATCTGCAGTAGAAAACAAGGGGTGATCTTTCCTGCTCCCCCCCTGCACTGGCATGTGCTGGGTTAAGTACCTAAACCCAGTCACTGTGTTGTCAATGGCTCAGTAAAACTATTCCATGATTATTACAGAAAGCTAATCAGGGCAGAGGAACTTTCCTTACTGGCTGCAGCTGGTCATTTTTCATGTTTCACATCAAGGTCACAAGAGTGCAGAAGGCATCTTTATATGTTCATTAAGCTACAGATTTAAAATACTGTAACACGGATATGTATTGTTTTGTAAACTCAGACTTAAATGTTTTCATGGCAATTACAGCAAGTAGCTTTGTATCAAATGCAGGACTAATTTCACCCTTGTTTTACTTTACCAGGCTGAAAATGAACTGCAGAGAGCGACATTGGACGCTACTCGAACAACTCGGCATTTAGAGGAAACCATTGATCATTTTGAGAAACAGAAGATAAGGGACATCAAAGTATGTATGCTCACATTTCATCTTGTACAATAAAATTATTATAGTTAGTCAGGGGCAAGATTAGCAACATTCAGTATTCACTGAAATGCAAATCTCATGGTATTCATGAATATTTCACAGAATTGTAAATTATAGATATGTGTAGAATCTACAGATAACTTACCCTCAACCTGTTTTATAAAAGAGTATCTTCAAAATAGCAGAATTTCTGACTGACATCTTGTGAATACATGTTGGAGATTATCAAGTGACTTTTCAGTAAGACATGTTATTCCTAATAACATTCTCTCTTTACTTTTGAAGTATTTATTTATAATTTATTATTAAATAATAACTGCATAAGTGATAGCCCAGCCAGCATTTATGTTTAATTTCTAAAATTCAGGTCTGACTACCTAAAAGTACCAATTATTATGCAGTTACTTATATGATATAAATACCAAACACAGAATACAGTAATTTTTTGAAGTGAAAATGTACTTTACTGCATTAAGAAAACATTTATTCTCATTTGCTTTCAGAACATATTTTCTGAATTTATAACCATTGAAATGTTGTTCCATGGGAAGGCTTTAGAGATACTTACTGCTGCCTACCAGAATATCCAAAATATTGATGAAAATGAAGATTTGGAGGTAAGAGTGATTGAGATTTGCTTTTCCGTTTACTTCCTATATAAATACAGTTTTCACAGTTGGGCTAGACCTGTCCCACACAGAAAAACGCAACAAATATTTCAGGTTCCCAGAACAAACTCATGTATACCAAGCCTCTTTTTTGCACTTCTTCAGCAAAAGCATGCAGTTTTATAATCTCAAAGAACACAAACAGAGAGAAATTGCAGTGGCAATCTAATCTTTCCCACAAATCTCAGAAAAGAGACTGTGAGCCTTGCTCTAAAGATGCACATAGAAAAAATCTTACCCTGCTGTGATAAAATGATGTAAAGACTAAGTACTGCATTAAAGATCTCCCTCTAACCTGAATTTTGTTTGCTTGTTTTCATCTTTTAATCATTTTTATTAGGCTGTTCTAGAATTAAGAGTCATTTGTTATTTACTACACTGGTTCTTTTGCCTTGTGTCAGTAACCACATTCAAGTCACCCTTTCTTTTCTATTTGAATTATAGTCTCTTTTTGCCAAGATATGCTTTTCAGTCCTTTTTTCATTCTTGCAGTTCTTCTGAATGTTGGGCCTTTAAACTTAATATCATTGAAATGTATGTTGTGTATATATGTTAGGTTTGTCAAAAAAGTTGCATCAATTTCAGTACTTTTTTGTAAGCCATATCAGTCATAATTTTATTTTTTTCTATGACATAGCTCAGAACCAAGTTAGCACAAGACTTAGAAAAACATGTTTCTTCAGTGACAGTCATGTTTGAGACTACCTGGTAATTTTACTTCATGGCATGATTTAAATAGCAATTTTGTACTATTTTAGTTTCACAATTACAATGTCACATGGCACCAATTAAGAAATTCCCTTTAAGTCAGTACTTTGGCTTTCACAACCAAATTTTTAATCTCATTTTAAATTTCCTGTTAATTGGACAATCACTCTTCATAAAAATACTGACCACAATATACAATCTCCTTGACCAAAAGTCTTACAGAAATAGCTGCATTGGTTATTGAAATAACTTAAAAATATAATGGATGTTACAGTCTCCCCTCTATTCTAAGAGGTTTCCCAAATTTTTCTTGAGTTGTACATCTCCTGTACATTGCAAGTAACATTCTTCTGATGGCAATTGTGACATGCAGCAGGGATTTGCTTGTGAAGGGGCTGAGTTCATCTTTGCAAGAAATGGAGAGCCTGAAGGAGTTGCTGTGGTTCGTATGTCTAGCTTAGCCTGAAACTCAGCTACATAAGTTGGTGGGAAACTAGTACAGTTTTCCCTGTGTAAATACCCCCCAAACCTCTGAAGAATGTTTACCTTGACCATGAAAGTATGTTGATGTGTCTAGGTTAAGCAAGGACACTGTTTCTGCTCCAAGTCCCCCCTGCAAAGAACTGGCTCCTTGAAATCTTCTCTGAGAACAGCACAGGTAAGAAAAAAAATTACAGACTAAATCACTGTATTAAAGCTCTACTTAAGATAATGCACATGGATCCCCTGTCTTTACTCAGTTTAGGACCATCAGAAATATAAAGAAACTTTTCAATGACATAAATATCATATTAAGCTCTTGATAATGCAGCTTTTTCATTGAGAGAAAAAACCCTCAGCTTTTAAAGCTGTGTTGCTTACTTTTGACAGATGCCATTTCCAGCAATACTTGGTCTTCCATCAACTGGCATCTTGCAGAGATCTAGGAGCTTGTTTGAAAGAATAGTGACATTCTTTAAATACTTACATATTTTTAGTATTCAGTTATAGAGTGTGGCCCACCAAGTCCTAATCCAGACTAGTGATGTGTTCTAGCAGCAGAGCAAACCCATGACCAACAGATGTCTCCTTTTATACTCTCAAAGTTCACAGCAGGTGAGGAAAAGGATGATAAAAATGAGTGAAACAGTTGAAGACAGTGCTGCTTTTTTTGGGCCAGCTACCTTGCAAAAATATCTTTGCCGCTTGTTTACAGCAGTAAACTTGCAGACATTGTAAAATGCCTAAATTATTTTTAACTTATTGCAACTATAATCCTGTAACTGCAATGATTCTTACCAGTGTTTCAATTAAAGACAAAGCCACATATAAAATGTATGTATCTTACTTTTCTTCTTTGAATAGAATCATGCATTGATATTGTAGCAAGGAAAATTTTTCTTGACTTCATACACACTTTACACCTTCTCTGCTCTCAACACAGAACAGATCAATTATTACAGGTGAGCTGTTCTGTTGTTGAAATTGTGTCATCTGAAGAGATACAGCCTAGTAATTCAGTGCATGAACTACTACCTTGATTGAGTAACTTGCCAATCCTCTCTATCATTCAAGCAAATTTCATGTTCAAGCTACTTTAGGAAATATAACAGAGAAAAAACACAAAACAAGAGAAAACTGAGAGTACATACACTGATTTCTCCCAGAGATGGAGTGGAACTCTATTTTGACTAACTAAAGTTAACCTATTTCATTTCCTAGACTGCTGTCTTAATTATAACTTTGGGTGTTAATGTTCTCATAATCTCTCACTTACCTGAAAAAAACAGGAAGTCATCTAGACCTAGAGGGAAACTGCAATGCAATTCAAAATAAGGTCATCTTAATTGGCTGTACAGTGCATCTGCAGAGGGGAATCATGACACAGAAATGGAGTGAACACCCTACTAATCCAGTCACCATAGGACAGTGAAGAAAGGGCAGCTCTTTTCCTGATTCTTAAATAACATCGTGATGGATTACACTAAGGGCTCTAATCTTTGGAACCACCAAACATTTCATGAGGGAAGAAAAGTGCTGTATTGAGAAAAACCTTCAGGCGACTTACCTTTTCTGTGGATCTTCCACCCTGAGATTTTGACAAATCCAGTTTCCTGCTACACAGTAATCCTTTACTGTCTGTAATGCAGTACTTTGCAATTTCCAATGTAAAGCAGTATAAATTATGTGGGAAGCAGTTCATGGAATCACACAACCCAAGTCTGTGGGGCAGGGGAGGACAGACAAACACACATGAACACTAACCTGTAGGTGGGGGACAGTGTGGGAAGTCACTGCATGGAATAAAGTCACAAGTTACAAGATGGAATAAAATGTGCCAGTAACACAATTCAGATCTTTTCAGAGGATTTAACACGCAACATCACTGAATTTATTTCTGGCTATGTGGACTAACTTTCTGTATTATCTGTATGTTAAAAATCTAAAGTACTCCTTGAGCTTGATTCATTTTCTCACAAGGAGCTATGTCCTTCATTTTACAACACTTCATTTGGCAAGTTATCCTGTTTTGGTTTACCAATTCAGGTTGGTATATCTTATATTTTAGAAGTATAGTAAAACAGAATGATCTTCAGTCACACTTAAGTCCACAAGTTTTATCTACATGCATTAAATGTAACTGACTTTCACACTTGACACTCTGTAGGACAGCAAAGTATTATTTTAACCATTATTGTAAAGAATGCATCTGAATATTCCAACACTAAGACATGGAGAGAATTGCCATGCTTTTGTAGTAGCATCTACAATGAAACATGGAGCTGAACCGCTTAACCAAGGACAGTCATCACCTACACGCAACTCACGGAATTAATTTTTACGTAAAATTATTTATGGTCAACAAATTATCATATTTTTCTTTTTTGCATTAAGTTATCAAAACTTAAATCTCATAACTGGTATGTTTTAGTTCTTTGGCACAACAACTTGATTTAAACTGCGTAATTTCTTTACTCAAGTTCCTTCCCTGATCCAGTTTGGTTCTTAGGGACAGCCACATTAGCACCACCAGTGATAATATTTAATATACTATTTAGTTAATTGCTGCACGGTCAGAGGTATTTGACTAGTGAGCAGAAAAAAGCCATGAAGCCAGAACACTTCTTACTTCAGGAAAGGGGAAAGGGGGGAACTTTTTTTCAGAAATACGATGCAAGATCTGCTGAAGAATTTCAGATGCTCTGAACTAGAAAAAAAAACTTAGAAAATTATTATATCTATCACTATTATTCCAGTGAAATTCATTTCACCTTAACAGGCTCAATCTGCAGCATTCCTTAAACTCCAATTACAAAACACTGCCATTGTCTTTTTCTGCTTTCACAGAATGAGAATAACGCTGCCTTAGATATTGCAACTCAAGTTAACTCAGCTTCACCCAATGATTAACTCCATTTTCTGTTGTGTTCAGGAATTTTAAGCAAGTATTTGCTTCGAGTTAAATTACGTACTTTATGAGCATCAAGACTAAGGATTTTTCTGCTTTCAGAAGTTCAATGACTACACTTTGCTTTATGTGCACAGAAAACACTTAAGTTACATAGACAGCTGTATGAATTATAACATCTCAGAAGTCAATAATGAGCATTTAAGGACTTTTAAAATAGGGGGCTGCTTAAAAAAAAGGCAAGCTCTGACTTCAGTACAGAGGTTTTTACTATATCACTGTGTAAGAGGACACAGAAAATATAACCAAAACTAGAGCTGCAGACACCCTTAGAGACCCACTGAACCTGAAAAAATTTTTCAGAAGTATTTCAGAAGACTTGGATAACTGTCTTCAATGTTCTCTTTCTCAGGGGGAAAGAAAAACAACTCATATATCCTTCTTTATATTGTAAATGTTGCACTGTCTGTGAAGAATCTATCTTCAATAGGAATTAGATTGAGCCCTTATTAAAATAAAGTACAGACTGCAGAATCTGTCAAATGAGATGAAAGCTTGGCAGCTGGCATTTGTTTTTAATGTTTGATGAACCAAAAAGAGGAGTCATTCTAAAGGCAAGCATTGATGGGCACAGAAAGTTCATCTATGAATCAAGACTCTTTCCAAGTTTGTCTAATTCATTCATGAAAGAAAAAAAAACATAAAAAGCTTAGAGCAGCATAGTTAAGAGCTTTTAACTGAAGAGGTATAATGTCTTCAAGATAAGATTAGGCCCTAATACTCATCTTCAGCCTGTTGTTAAAACAGCAAACCCAGGAAAAAACTGATTTGCATCTTGTTGATTTTTAGCATTAATTAGGTAAAAAGACCATTTTCCCTATTCTATAATAGTTGTCAAGGACTATATGGAATTTTTTAGCTTTTAATAATCATTATAGTATTTTTATTCTGTGTCAAGTATCATTCCATTAGTGTGCATGTTATGAAAAGTTAATAAATAAACAATTTAGCCCCTCCCCCAAATGAAAACCCTACAAACATTTAGACAGAAAATGTCAGTGGAGAATTATTTTTTGTTTGCAGAGAATGAACAGTTGATATCCTTTTGTTGGATTTTTGTTTTAGCAGATTTCCCGCAGAATGCTAAGAAAAGATGAAGAAGAGGACGAGGAGGAAGATGAAGATGATGAAGAGGAGGATGAAGAGGACGAATTTGATGCTACTAAGGAAGTGAGATAACAAAGCTGTTCTAAGCAGGGTTTTTTTATTAAGGGGGGGAAAAAGCCCTTTACCTAAAGGCTTTTGTATGCTGGATTTAGAATTTCACCGGGGTTATATATTTAGAATTCAAGCAGGAGCAAGAATCAGCACTGATTCTATAGTGCCAGACTACAAATGACTGGTTTCGAAGAATGGAAGAAAATCCACTTAAAGTGGACAGTTTCAGTAGCTAGAAAATTAAATATTTAAATTGATGCCTGTATTATATTTGCATAAATGTTATACTGTAATCACATTTGCTCAAACTTATGTAATGAAGTGTCCAAAAACTGCACTAAGCTTTCAAGCAGTTATGAACATAGTTTTCTCATTACTTTGCCAAGATATTACCTCTCTATTTATACACCTCTTGAATTTATTAAGTACTCTAGCTGTAACTATTATAATTGGGTTTATACATCCTAAAGTAATGTAGTAATTAAGAAACTGTTTGCAGCAACAACCTGTTAAGATTTCATTCTGCTATCCACTCTGAATGGCCAAAGGCAGGATGAGGTATACTGTTTTTCTTATTTTCATTTTCCTCAGGCTTTCATGAGGTTCAGATGACTTTTGATTCCTTTACACATACAGAATGAAGTCATAAATAAGGACCTGGCCCAGTATCTTATGTTCAATGCTGCTTTGCTTTTAAATAAAAGTGCCTTCATGATAAAACTAGTGGATATTTTATGTAGTTGTTTATTATATTAGTTGACATGCTACACATAGTTCAAATTTCATGTGTTTAGCTACATGATTCAGTTACTGGTTCCATCAAACATACAAGAAATTACACATTTTGAGTGTAATTTCTTATCCTGTTTGGATATAGAGGTTATATGTGTTAATTTTTTAACACAGTATAGTTGTCTGCCAGAAAGCTGTTACTACACTGCTCACCTCCAGTATCTGCTAAAGAACAAATGCAGAAGAATTTAAACTTGCCACTGGGAAAGCAATTTTAAGTTGTAACAAAATCTTTCAGTTACAGAAATAAACCAGGAAGTGCATTTATAATATTGATGCTACTTTTGTCCACTGATGAAAAGAATGCAATGCATACCTGCTTTGGCATGTGAAAAAACAGGTTTTGCCAAAAATTAATGTGATGCAAATAAGTGAAAAGTTCACAATACAGGATTCTGTTTAAAACCCAGAAAATAATTTTACACCAGCATTACATACCAATGTCAATTGACATTGAATTACTGCTGTCAAGGAGTAAATGCCAATGAGCAAAACTTAAAAGCATCTACATAATTATTTCCCATCTATTTCAGCAAGTAAGACACTTCAATAAATAGTTGTATCACATCAGAATTATGGTGATCACCACTTTACCATTTCACACGCAATGAAGTAGTTCATCTCCAAAACAGATGGCTAACTTCGTAACAATTTCAGGTTTTCATATAATGTACATAGATACAGATAGCAAATATTTGTGTACTATGCCTTGAGAAAGCAATTCTGAAAAAAAGGCAGTTTTGTTAACATTAATTGCCCTCTAAAAGATGATGCAGTTCACAAACATAAAATTTGTTCTTACTAAGTCACAAAGAAAAGTCAATTTCAGGAATCACAGAAAAATTTCCAGAAAAGAAGTACAGTGTTGGGTAACTTTGTCCTGCATGCATGATGTCTTAACTTTGCATGTTGCACAGAAATTGTGACTTCAAAACTACAGATGAAAAGTCCCTGGTTAAAATACTTCACAGCCAGAATAACAAGTTAGGTTGTTAGTAAAGAATTAAGTATTACCTGAAGACTCTTCCACAAAGAATGTTTCTCATGGTACAAGTGCATACTGCAAGACTGACCTTGCAGTTATTCCAATCACTCATTCATATTTTTTATAACTGGCACCTACACGATGCAGGAATGTATCCATTCTTGCCTGGACTGTTTTGCCTCTCTGTTGAACAAACTGACACATTCCTTTGGGATTAGGGGTGCTCATCAGACTGTCCTATTAGACAGACCTTCCTTCAATGTCTCAAGCTGCTTTCATAGGTGATCACTGTTTCTAGTTTTTGACAACAGAAACTCTTGTCTTTGACATCAGAATTTCTGGACAATGGTAGCAACAGCAACTTCAGAAAGGCGTAACTAAGGAAACTTGCTGTGTTTTAGATAAACATCACAAACTGTAGCATTTCATTTGTTACTCCTTACTATATGGGTGGTACTTAAAAAGGAAGAACAGTATTTCAAGCCACATAATTATAGACAGTTTCTGATTTGTCCTTTGTACTGGAAATACAATGCCTCCAAATCACTAAACATCTGATGTTATAAAATCCTATTATCAGGAAATGCTGTCATCATATCATGCACCTGTACTATCTATGCAGGCAGAATCAGAATATAATGCCATGGGGCATTATAGAGGCAGGGGGAACAGAGGAAGAAGGACACAGACCCAAAACACCAATCAGATAACAGCTATAAACTAAGAACCAACTGTCCTATTATTATTTAATTGATGTACTTACTGGCATCCCTTCCCAAGTTTCCTATGCTTCAGTGCATCTGTACATACTTTGATATACAGGTCTTTATAGACCTTGGAAAAATAAATTTTTTTGGTCTATCAATCAAACATTTCAGGTTAACCTAAACTAGTCATAAACTCTAATCTGGCTTTAAATTAACAAATCAGCTACAGGGCAAACAAAAGACCATCTTGTAATGCCTTAATTATGACCTCTGCAATTACAAGCTTTATGATACTTTTTATATGTTCACTAAGGGGGAAAAAGAGTCTACTATCTGAAAAACTAATGGTATCTTATCAGCAATTACTCTTAACCTTTTCTGAAAACAGGTAGGTTTTTTTCTGAAAGACAATCTCACACTTTACTGGCAAAGCATTCTACTAAACCTTCTTACCTTTCCAGCCTCCAAGTTTGAAATCTCCTATTGTCTAAGTAGAAGTGCTTTAAAAATATACAAATCATCTAAAACTGATTAACTTGAGAAGTTAGTTGTATTCACATTTTAAACACAGCTTAGTAGTAAAGACACTAGCTAACAAAAACAGTGACAATGAAGTTTTCCACGTGACGGTCAGGGAAGTTTATTTTGAGGATTCTCATGTCTTTATTTTCTGTGCAACATCTTCTGGCTCCTTGATCTCTTTTACAGTAGCTATTAAATAAAGCACAAAATTGTTGGGTTTTAATTCCTTTTAAGTTCAGAGGATGATTCCAAATTGAATGATTCTGAAGCTAATTCCTAAAGCAAGTATCAGTATGCGAAGTGTTAAGAATTTGAAAATTTGGCCATTACGGTTCTTTGCTCAGAGTAATCTACATATACAGACCTTGCATTATCATTCAAAAAGCTTTTTCCTTGACACTTAAAACATAGAACAAATAATATACAGGATAAAGCTACACTAACCTTTTAAATATTACAGAACAAAAAATTTCATTCATTTTGTTTGCTTGTACCGAACAGTTGGCATGGAAGTTCTGCAGTCATGATGATGACTTCACACAAAGTAATTATGGTCTGACCACCAGTGACAGGGGACCATTCACTGGAAAGGCTGACCAGACAGCTCTGTCCTTAAAGCTATTAAAGATGCAACAGACAAGGCCTTGAGTAGCCCATTCTAGCTGAAACTTGCTTTGAGGAGGGAATTGGAATAGAGACCTCCCTACTTCATGAATTTAGGAATTCTGGGTATTGAACAACCAAAGTTAAGTTTTCACTGCTAAGTTGCAACTTTGTTGTCTCAGTTTGAGGGGACTGAGACTTAATCCTTTAGTACTACAGATACTATCTTGCAGTTACAATGTCAAGGAAAGTCCTTGCCTACACAATCACCAAAGTTTCCTACTAAGCCTTAATTCTGAAGACACGGCTTTTCCAAGGTACCTTTTATTTCTTGCTAAAATTTAAGTATGCTGGTAACAAACCAATGAAAATAACACATTCTAAATGCTGACATAAGCATTTATTACATTAGAAAATAACATACTTGGTTGTCAGCTTGGTTGCCAGTGACAGATGCTAGTTAAAATTAATCAGAGATTGACCTGGAATGCATCCAGACATCATTAGCCAGTTAGTATTCATATTATGCAGCATGTGAAGATAAAACAAAACCTGAAGTCAGAATTCTTGATCTAATTCCAACACTCATTTTCTGCCTCAAGGTACTACAGTGAGTGAGAAAAAAAGTCTTAACTGATGAATAGAGCCTCTGCAATCTCTATAAACTACCCATCCTCTGCTTTACCATCTGTGTTGACAAACTACCAGTTCACTCTTTCCAGAGGAAGCAGCAAGCAGCATTCTCAACAAGACCCAGATCTCATCACCATAATAGTTGACATCATTAACTATACAAGTTTTAAATATAAGACACACATTTAAATGGCAGTTTCCTTTTTATTTTAAGAAAGTTGCACAGCCAGCTAATAAGAACAGGAAGCTTTTTAAACAGGAATGCCTGCAAACACATGAAACCGAATAAAACCTGAAAAGTTTACACAGAAAGGAAACAAAAAAAAAATCAGTATTTTTTAAAATTTTATTAAACTAACCTCATTAAGTGTCATTTATTAATGCAGGTAGCACTGAAAATCTTCTATTTGAACCGTTTGTGTGGTCAGTCAACCAGCACTTATGTTTTTATTTGATGCAAAGACATAAGACTGGAATTAATCTAAAAAAAAAAAAAAAATAAACAACCGAAACCTTTGAAACTCCATCCCTTTATACCTTGATGTAAGACATTCAATGTCCTACAGGTATTTCAACCAAGAGCTAAACAACTGAACTGGGTATTATTTACAACAGCTGATGGAAACTGTTATGCATCTTCCAGTAATTAAAAGTTAAAATAACTGTCAATACTGTCAAACCTAGAATGTGTTATTAAAGCATCTTTTCCTCCTTTACAGCAAACTCAACTTAACTTTCCGTGGACCAATGGGCCTATCATTTAGTTCATTAATAGCAGCCATAGCTTCCTCATAGTTTGTCATAGCAACGATGGCATCACCAGAAGGTAATCCTTGTTCATTGTACTGCACAGAAACTGACTCCGGTATCACTCTGTAGCCATAGAAAAAATCCAGAATCTCATTAGGAGTAGCTTTAAAAGGTAAGTTTTTCAATAGAATAGGAACAACACGTTCAGAACCACCACTGAAATTTGGATCTGGCATAAATCTTCCTTCAGGAAAATTTCCCATTTTATTATTCCCAAACTCCATTCTGCCAAAAGGTTCACTGTCACCACCAAAATCCATGAGGGGTGGTGGACCCCTAAAATCCTTAGGAGGGCACATGAAGTCCTCAGGGGGATGTCTAAATTCAGAATGATGCCTGAAGTTCCCAGGGGGACCAAATGAATGCATGGGTGGCCCTTGTGGTGGCCCAGATGGTGAACCAACTGGACGGGAGAGGTCAGCTCTGTCATACAGATGTGAATGACCGTGCATTTCATTTGGTGCAGATAATGGTGCAGCTACACCAAACTTCTCCATCTGATCTTGAGATATTAGTCTTATTAATACTTCTGTTCCCAAAAAAGTTTGACGATTTAAATTTTCTGCTTTCATAGCTTGTTCTTCAGATTTAAACTTCACTAGTGCTTCTCCCAGTCCAACTCCTTTTTCATCATAGAGCAAGTAAATATCATCTTCATCAATATCAAATCTTGCAAAGAACTTTTGCACTTCGATTTTTGACACATCAAATGGAAAATTCCTTACGTAAACACAAGTCTTAGGGCTGGAATGACCTTCCCGGTAACTTTTTTCTGATATGGCCTGTCCAAAATGATCTCTGTCTGGTGATCTTTTCCTCTCACAAGAGTCAATTATTTTCAACATTGACTTTCTTGAAATTGGAAAAATGTACACAGGACGATTGAGAAGAACCTTTCTATGACATTCCAAAGCAGCCTGATATTCTCTCTCATTCCTTAATACCACAAAAGCATCTCTAGTCCTTTTCTGATGCTTATCTGTTAAAATCTTGATCTGTTTGCTGTGTATATCCAAATCGGGGAAAAAATCTCTCAGATCTCTCTTTTCTACATTAAAAGATAGATTTCTTAGGTGTATGTAATATTCCTGGCTAGGAGATGAACGAGAATGTGTTCTTTGTCTCCTTGGTGATCTTGAACGAGAATGCTTCCTTGAATGCATGTAGCCTGAACTTCTTGGAGAATGGTCTTCACACAAAAAGTCATCCATTTCATCTGGCATGTCTATCCTTCCACCGCACTCAATCCACCGTTCCTCTGTAGTTGGGCTAATTTCTATAAACCTCTGACCCATGTACTGTCTATGACGTTTAAGTCCTTCTAAGGCATCACCAGGTGTAGCACATTTTACCAAGCAATCACCATTGTTTAAACCATTGCGGTGCTTTATCAAAATCACTCCATCCACATGTATCCCTGAAAGGAAAGTACGTACTTCAACTTCTGTTGCAGAGTAAGGTATACCTCGTAGAAATAAGTAACGATCATCTGGGTTAAACGGGTGAGAATCCTTTCTTAACTGATAGTTTGACTTAGGTATACCCATATCACCATATCTTGTGCCGTTAGTATGGAAACCAGCCTCCAGGCGATTTGGTGGCCCGTAACTAGGTTTTCTTATTACTTTTGGAGAAGCTGTAACTAAATGTGGTATATCTCCAATACTTGATGTACTAGAACCATTAGTACCTGTTCTTCTAGAGCCAGACATACTTTCTCGTCCCCCACGGTCAAATCGTTTCCGGCTCATTTCTATGGTACTCTGCATCTCTGCCTTGCTGCTGAGAAAGAGCTCTATGCGCGAGTCCTTGATAAACCTTCCTGAACAGCTCATGGCACGCCGTGCATCTTCATCTGTTGCAAATATAATAAAAGCCTCCCCAATCTCTCCTCCAATAATATGCACACCTCCATCGGGAATATTCAATCCCAAGAAGAAACGACGAATATCTGGAGGACCCGCAACAACAGGAAGCCCCTGTAAACGGATGACTACAGCCATGCTGAGCTCAACCCACAGCAAAAATCACCTGCAGACAAAAAGGTACACATGATAGCACGTCTTTAGTACTCAGCTATTACAGTAACTTATCACTTAAGAAGCTAGAGCCTTTTTAATGAATGCCCTCATCTCATCAACAGAGAAGGTATCAACCCACAAGTTCACAAGAACAAGATTAAAACACAATTCACTGAAAGTGGATTAGACAGAACAATTAGCTACTCCACCGGCACACATGCACAAATCTATCAATATTCCCTACCCTAAGGGCAACAAAATCCACCTAAGTCACTCCTCACCATCCACAATACCTAAAGAACACCTCAAGTCTTTCACAACATAGTTACTATATGCCAGAGATCTCTGCCCACTCCTAAAGAACAAAAAAATCTAGTTTACTTTTGAATAGGACACTAGCTGATAAAAGGAGATAGGAAAAAGAATAACTACGTCACTGCAAAATGAAGTACTTCACAAACAGTACAGGCTTTACTGCTTTGACAAGTTGCTCTACCCAGTGATCAGTTCTTTTCAATAATGTGTTTTCTCAGCATTCAAAAATGTTGTCTCTTTGGCGTAGAGTATTAACTGCAGCGGCCACAAGCATATCCTAGTTGCCAGCCACAAGTCTGTGAGGAAAAAAGGCTGTGTATGATCTTGTCACAATATTCAGTGAGAAGTGTTAAGCTTTTGGCAGCTTACCTGTTTCTGCTTTGGAGACCTGATAAATTCTGTAAAATCAACTTAACTGTGGAAAGAAAACGAAACATAATTAATGGCTGATACCTGCACTTTGCTTTAACACACTGTGCTACACTGCTGCAGCCCATCCATAGCAGTGGCTAATACTAAAGCCAAGCATGTTATGAACCCATGTGAAGAACTCCTTCCATGTTCCAAGATGCCATGCACTGCATCTTTTTGTTTCCATTTTAGAAGCAAAAGAAATTCAGAGTTTAAGTTGACTTCTGGAAACGATGAAAATATGATGAGATTACTTGGTCATCAATTGTGCCACACTGAACTGTTGCAATGAAACAGACTGACAGTGTATCAAGGGAACAGTTCTCAACTGAGTTCTTGAAAGGTGCTTAGATCCATTTTAGGATTAAAGGACATGTCCATTCTTCTGAAATCCACCTGGTTTCAAATTTCACAACAAGAGTACGCTGCTCACCAGTCCAGCACTGCACTTAATGTACACCGTGAAGACCATCAAACAAAAGACCAAAAATATCCAACAAAGTGAAACTTCAGGAAGCACCTGAACTTACAAAGCCAACTTCAGTATTTTCCCTATATCCTTACTCTACCGCCTTTCAAACATAAGAAGAAAAGCTTGAATACACTGACTGAACACATCCCGATTTTCAACATTTTCTAACATCACACAGTAAATAGCACAATATTCTCAGAACAAACACAAGCCTCTGTAGCAAATTACTGCATCACTTTAAAACAAACACAACCCAATGCTCTGAGCATTTGAGAACACTCCTCCTACAAACCTTGCTCTATAAAGCACTAGATCCTGATGACAAGTTATTTATCAATAACCGTAACTGTCACTCCACTTGAACTTAGCAAAACAACACCAAGCCCAAATTCTGTCACTAATGGACTCCACATCACTTCTGCACCAGTACATAAGCACAACAAACCGAAAACAACTGCCCATTTAGAAAGTTCACTAAAGACCATCTGTCCTCTGTACTTTTGTGGTGAGTCGACCCCAGCCAGCAGCCAAGCACCCACACAGCCGATTGTTCACTCCTCGTCCCCATCAGTGGGATGGGAAAGAACAAAGTCAAGAAAACTTGTGGGTCAAGATAAAGACAGTTTCATCAGCAGAAAGAAAAACACAAAAAGGAAATCACCACCTCATGCAGGCTGACTGATGTCCAGCCTTCTTCCAATCCTCCCAAAGAAACCAAAACCAAGAAAATACTTCTTCCTCTACCTCAGTTTTTGTTGCCCAGCACGATGTTACATGTCACAGAATATCCCTTTGGTGAGTTTGAGTCAGCCCTCCCAGCTTCTCACCTACTCTGGAGGAACAGAGTAGGGAAAACAGGTACAGCCTTGATACTGTGCAAGTGCTGTTCAGCCACAGCCAAAACACCGATGTGTTGTCAACATTCTTTTAGCCACAAATCCAAACTGAACTGTATGGGCTGCTGTGAAGAACGTTAACTCCATCCCAGCCAGACCCAGAACACTTTACAATGTGTCTTCTCAACAGATGCAATGGAGTGCCAAAAAGCATGGAGAATTCAAGGGCAGAATTTTCATACAGCACCTTCGTGTCTTGAAAAAGCAAATCCGCTGCCCTGCTACTTCATGATGTTTTTAATCTGTAGTACTTCTGGATTCACAACTCCGCTTTCTTATCCCAATTTTTAAACATCATTCACAACAGCTCTCCTCCATAATTCTTCGGTGATAAACTGCAAGTTCTCCACGATGCACCAGGGATACCATACAATACACAACCTTCCGTGGTGAAAACCAGACACAGTGATTCCAGATCATAATGTGATCTCTAAGAAGTCCATAAACAAATGCAAGTTCAAATAATAGCTCTTACTGACTGTAAACAATCACACGAGTAGAAAGCAGAGACCAAGCCATCCAACAATTTAAAGTGCATAACCAAAGAGAGTTGACTTGTCATGAAAAGTAAGAGCAATTCATTAACTGAACAACAACTTCAGAGAGCAAGGATTTGGAGAATAAATAAACAACTTCATGCCACTACTTAAAAGCACAGAAGTGTACAGTTTTATGAAATTTTATATATAAGCAAAATTGTCTAGAAAACAGTACAATACCTATTCTTCCACAGCCTCGGAAAATTCCAAACATTAAAGACATTAAAATAATACACAACTTGTAAACACAGTAGGAAACTAAGTCTGCACTAGACTAGTATTTTTATCATAACACTGGAAGATTACACAGACTGCAAGCTAGAAAGAACCCACAGAAACACCCCGACTACGATACTGGACCAGTGTAGAATAACCAGCGAAACAGGGGAAGGTTTCTTATTCTATTCTTCAAAATGAGCCTTAATAGAGGAAGCAGACTGCTGCGAATAGCAGTTTTCACAGTGCTGAAGGAAAACATGAGTGAGCTCTGCAGCTGGGCCCACTACACAGTCGAGTGTAGCACGGAACCGCTTCCAAGCAAGTCGCCCCGCCGGCACCAGCGCTGCTGGAGGTACCCGCCGCGGGCGGCAGGGCAGGGGACGGGTGAGGGGGACGGGGCGAGGGGTCCGGTGCTCCACCGCCACGAAGGAGCCCATCTGTTTCCCAACACCGGGACAGGGCTGAGGGAGGCACCGAGAACGGGGAAGGGGGATGTGAAGCCCAGGGACACGAGGAGGCCGGGACACACGGAGCGGCTGCGCAGCGGTTCCGCAGCGGTTCCGAGAAGGTCGGGCAACCGAGAAACGGCAAACTCGGCGCCGCCCTCGGCCACACGTCGCACCCCGGGGAGGCGTGCTCTGTCCCTCACGCCATTCATCCA